TTTTTCAACTGCTAGTATAGTGTGCCCCCATGTGGTGAAATGAGTTCTTGAACCCAACTCACTTTATCACATTTTAAAACGTGACTAATTCTCTTTGATTTGACCTTCAGCCAGTAGTTTGGAAATATTAGGAAACATCAGGAGAAGAGAAACAAGGAGAAAAGACAGCAACAAAAAGAAGTCAGAGTAGAGAAACATTTGTTTTATTTTATATATGACTAAAGAATAACAACATCTAACGAACGTCTTGCAATGTAACCATAGAGGGTATTTCCTATGGCCATACAGTACGTTTGATGTTTTCCCTTAACAGGCAAGGACTCATGCAAAACCTTGCTAAAGCAACAGATTGATCAAGATGAAACCAGCAAAACAGAGCATTCAACACATTTGGATGGACAGAAAAAAAGGAGTGGTGAGTGTTATCCCCATAGAAATAGAATACAAGGTTTGCCATTTGGAGTGTACCCATGAGTTTACCAGTGAACATGCCATGGGCTGAGGCTCCTGCAGGCCTGTTCTACTGATTCTATTTCTAAGGTAATTACCTCATACATCATGTGCAGATCAGTATGATCATCAGATGTCACTGCTGAATGTCTACGGAGGGGGAAAGAACTGAAAAGTTTATTAACCACAGCCATAAGACGATAAAAGTAATGTTACAACACAAAGTTACTTTAGCAAGACATACAAAAATAGATACATCAATTAGCAATACTTGGCACATAAATGCAAAGATATGGATGCAATATACTTCAGCCTAGACTAGTATGAGAATAATCTTGTAAATTCTAGCAGCATTTATCTGTTATAATCAACACAACTGTACACGCTAAATGCAGTCTGCATAATGGGAGATGCCAACCATGTTGTCTACTGGCTAGATAAAATAAATAGTATATCATTTATGCATGTACAAACGGATTACTGAAGGCGTGCAAACTGCAATTGAACAAGTCTTTACCCTCAAAATGTTGAGGAAATCGAGGAACGTTCCTACTGATATTTATATTCTTGATTTGCCTACATCAATTCAAATTAGCCCAGACATGCTTTTAAACCATCTCAACATACAGTATAATATGTTATCAATAAATACAATCTTTCTATATATACAGTGGGGAGAACAAGTATTTGATACACTGCCAATTTTGCAGGTTTTCCATGTAGAGGTCTGTAATTTTTATCATAGGTACACTTCAACTGTGAGAGACTGAATCTAAAACAAAAATCCAGAAAATCACATTGTATGATTTTTAAGTAATTAATTTGCATTTTATTGCATTACATAAGTATTTGATACATCCGAAAAGCAGAACTTAATATTTGGTACAGAAACCTTTGTTTGCAATTACGGAGATCATACGTTTCCTGTAGGTCTTGACCAGGTTTGCACACACTGCAGCAGGGATTTTGGCCCACTCCTCCATACAGACCTTCTCCAGATCCTTCAGGTTTCGGGGCTGTCGCTGGGCAATACGGACTTTCAGCTCCCTCCAAAGATTTTCTATTGGGTTCAGGTCTGGAGACTGGCTAGGCCACTCCAGGACCTTGAGATGCTTCTTACGGAGCCACTCCTTAGTTGCCCTGGATGTGTGTTTCGGGTCGTTGTCATGCTGGAAGACCCAGCCTCGACCCATCTACAATGCTCTTACTGAGGGAAGGAGGTTGTTGGCCAAGATATCGCAATACATGGCCCCATCCATCCTCCCTCAATATGGTGCAGTCGTCCTGTCCCCTTTGCAGAAAAGCATCCACAAAGAATGATGTTTCCACCTCCATGCATCACGGTTGGGATGGTGTTCTTGGGGTTGTACTCATCCTTCTTCTTCCTCCAAACACGGCGAGTGGAGTTTAGACCAAAAAGCTCTATTTTTGTCTCATCAGACCACATGACCTTCTCCCATTCCTCCTCTGGATCATCCAGATGGTCATTGGCAAACTTCAGACGGGCCTGGACTTGCGCTGGCTTGAGCAGGGGGACCTTGCGTGCGCTGCAGGATTTTAATCCATGACGGCGTAGTGTGTTACTAATGGCTTTCTTTGAGACTGTGGTCCCAGCTCTCTTCAGGTCATTGACCAGGTCCTGCCGTGTAGTTCTGGGCTGATCCCTCACCTTCCTCATGATCATTGATGCCCCACGAGGTGAGATCTTGCATGGAGCCCCAGACCGAGGGTGATTGACCGTCATCTTGAACTTCTTCCATTTTCTAATAATTGTGCCAACAGCTGTTGCCTTCTCACCAAGCTGCTTGCCTATTGTCCTGTAGCCCATCCCAGCCTTGTGCAGGTCTACAATTTTATCCCTGATGTCCTTACACAGCTCTCTGGTCTTGGCCATTGTGGAGAGGTTGGAGTCTGTTTGATTGAGTGTGTGGACAGGAGTCTTTTATACAGGTAACGAGTTCAAACAGGTGCAGTTAATACAGGTAATGAGTGGAGAACAGGAGGGCTTCTTAAAGAAAAACTAACAGGTCTGTGAGAGCCGGAATTCTTACTGGTTGGTAGGTGATCAAATACTTATGTCATGCAATAAAATGCAAATTAATTACTTAAAAATCATACAATGTGATTTTCTGGATTTTTGTTTTAGATTCCATCTCTCACAGTTGAAGTGTACCTATGATAAAAATTACAGACCTCTAAATGCTTTGTAAGTAGGAAAACCTGCAAAATCGGCAGTGTATCAAATACTGGTTCTCCCCACTGTATATATATATATATATATTCTATAAACTCCCATCCGTATTTATTTGGACAGTGAAGCAAAAATTTGCAAATGTGGCCATATACTCCAGCATTTTGGATTTGAAATCAAAGGTTTCATGAGACGACACTAAAGAATGTCACCTTTTTGAAGGTAGTTTCATACATATCTGTTTTACTGTTTAGAATTGAAAGCACTTTATGTATCTAGTCCCCCCATTTAAATAAATAAAAATTCCATAAGTATTTGGACAAATCCACTCATAGTGTATTAAAGTAGTCAAAAGTTGTATATTTGGTCCCATATTCCTAGCACGCAATGACTATATCAAGCTTGTGACTCCACAATCTTGTTGGATGCATTTACAGTTTGTTTTGGTTGTGTTTCGGATTATGTTTTGCCCAATAGTGGTGATGGGGGGGACTAGATCCATAAAGTTCTTTCATTTTCTAAACGGTAAAACAGATATGTATGAATATACCCTCAAATAAAAGGTGACATTCTGTACTGTCGTCTCATATGAAACATTTACTTCAATGTCCAGATAAATACAGAGGGGAGTGTATATGTAACTATATTTCATTCTCCTCTCTGCATACATCAATAGCAAAACCTGCTTATGCTGTTAAATTACAGATTTGCGTATGTGACTTAAATTAGCAATAGAACAGTCATAATCATATATTAAGAAAAATTATTACAAATAAAATGTTGGTCTTTAAAGTAAACCAATACTTAATATGTGTATCTTTATTGAAACACCTCATGCACAGAGAGGTTTCAATATGTGTCGAGACTGGCTTGAAAACATCCTGGGTTACTTTGCGTTTAGATGTAAAGCCAATTGTTAGTTATCTAAGACTCCCCTAATCAACTGAGGGATCCCAAATAGACCATCTTCAAGGTATAATGACATGAATTCATCAGTGTGCAATATTTAGGCCTGTGTGGTGTAGTGAAATCAATAGACAATCAATTTCCCTGGACATATGAACATACCAAAATACACCACAGTAAAGGGTTTTTATAAGGATATATAACTGCTCTTTTTCACACAACTGAAACTTTTTTGGATCCATCAATTTCACAGGACAGCACATCAACGGTTCAATGGCTCATTGATCAGAATTAACTTATGACGGATGCAGGCACTTCTTATAGTAAAAGCTAGGACACAGATTTTTTCTTGAATCAATGAACAGCTCGAAGCTGTGAAGAAAACACTATTACAAATAAACATTTACCCTTGAATACCATTAGATTTCTAAGACCCTGTTTAGTGATTTGTAAACAATCCTTGATCTCTTCACAATAAAAGTCCTTCCCACCTCAAGCTATAACACCAGGCTGATGACAACTTCTCGGTCGCTGCTATTCAGGTTTAGTGAACTACCCTGTTGCAAACTACAGTGTATCTTCCACAGATTCAACATGCAAACTAATATAGCAACCCAACTCAAAAAGAGAAAAGGAAATGTGCACACAGACAACATTGATTCAAAATCCAAATACTGCACCTGGAATTCATGGAATTCAAGAAATGTCCACCACTACAAACACAGGATTTGAGATTAGAGGCACACAACGCTTGACACAAATGTCAGATGACTTCAAATTCCTACTCTTAAATGCATTGCAAAGTATGTGCCAAACTGACCATTTAAAAGGTAAGATAATGGGCATCAATTGTTGTTGTTGGAACTCCACGTCTGTCTATGCAAAAGTTGCTCGAAATGAATGGTTTACCAAATACCTAGCATCAAATGCAGTTACACAAGCGCCTAGCACTAATATAATGACAAGACCATTGCTCTGTTTCTGTTTTCATCCTACAAAGCTAAATTGCCAGAGTAGTATCAATTCAATAACAGCAAACGGCTATCCCACTAACTGAAGGGAAATATCAAACACTTTCTATTTTCAATTTAACAAGAACTACATCGCAAAATGTTACTGTGATATTGGTTGCTTGGTAACAATGATGTCAAGCTAAATTATGGCTAGCACAATATTGTGCTGTGAATGGGGGACTCTTCAACCAGCCAAGAAACCACATACTAACCGAAGATCTAGGGTGTGTCCCAAATGGCACCCGATTCCCCATGTAGTGCACTACTTTGGACGAGAGCCCATTAGGCTCTGGTCAAAAGTAGTGCACTACATAGGGAATAGGGTGCCATTTGAGACATAAACCACCCCAGCAAAGCCCCTGGATGGCATGGCAAACCCCTACAAGTTGATCACATGAGTAACCAAGGGAGAGAGCTTGGGCAGTGGGCACACTTTTCACCTAGAGGCCAGTGAGGTCTACTATAGCCTTGATGAATATAGTATCATCTCGTATGTAGGAGTTTTTGGTGTCCAGTTTGGGAAGAGGGCAAAAGAGCGGGCAGCCGCTGGCGATGTTCATGTCACTGACGGGCCTCTGGAAGGAGGAGGAGGAGATGTCGGGACGGAAGGCATCGATGATGTGCTCTCGGTTATTCTGATCCAGCAGCATCAGGGTCACCTGAACACAAGAGGATTGGCAGATCGCAACATCTAGGCTAGGCCTACTGTACCTCAATGACAACATTCATGCTTTGTGATGAACAATTGTTTATTTGGTTTTACAAATATACACAAGTTGCAAGGAACAGATGAAAATAAACATGTATCTACCTACGTTTACCATGCAAGACAAATACCAAGAATAAATCTAGCAGAAGGGCAGATAGCTACTAGTGATGTTGCTGCCCTTGAAATACATAATGACCTTTGTCATTAAAGTCATTATGATATAGGTACAGTAGATACAACGCTGACATTAACATGCTGCTTCTCACAGTATCACACACAAACAAAAAAGTAGCAACACATTCAAGATATCATGAGTGAAATACTGTTCAAAAGGGTAATGAGTGTTTAACGTACAGTATATATTGCACGTAGGATATATAACATATAGCATATGTTATAGGAGTGAGTTTTACCTTCTGGTTGAAGGGCCACTTGAGGAGGGCGTCACTGTGCCCCCTCATCACTACGAAGAACAGAGACAAGTGACTGCCCCGTCCGGTCCCGTCCCCATTCAGATAAATCCGTAGACACATCTTGTAGCCATATTTGCTGGTGAAAAATGCTACAAAATGAATAAACATGATTAGTAAGTAAGCCTTGTCAGAACCAGACCGGCCCATCATTTTTCAAACACCAATGAACAATTATAAAATACGGTAATATAGAATGCATGAATGGACATTAGGCACGTTGTACCATAGAGTGGTTTACTTTGACGTTTGAATGATAAAAGTGGTTGAAATACACTACCGGGGGAGAACATAGCTGGGGCTCTGCCAGCAACAGCGTCCTGTCTTTTCTTTGTGAAATCAGAGATTTTCCAGACAAAGATGCCATCAAACGTAGCTGCCGACATCTCCCGCATATTCCCCTCCATCTCCACAATGGACAGGTCTCTCAGGCCCACAGTTCTCTCCAGCTGACGCACCTAAAGCAACAAAGACAGAAATTAACCAGGTTTCCCTCCAACCTTTTTATGAGAGTAAAGTACATGTCGGATAAAAAATGTCACGACAGGCCTGATGGAAACAGCTAATTTGTCAGTGAACTTTACAAATGTCAACAAAACAAACTAGACAAAGTGGGATCTTTTTGTGTCCGTAAAATTCATTAGGCGAGAAATTACGTTTGAAAAGACTTTTATGCGCAAATATTGATAAAATAACCATCATATCGAAGTAAACTTGGGAGTCACGCGGTGACATGTGTGGTCCTCCCACTACGACTCCGGAAACCATGCAGTTTATTAGGCTACAGATCAAATATGTTATGATGAACTTCACATGGAGACGAAAGTGCAAGGTGATGAGCTTGATGCTCCTTTCAATAAATATCGAGGGTCTTCTTCTGGCTGCAGTTTGTCAAATAAAAATAATCTTGCTCTTTTGTCCATAATAATCTCATGTAGGCTATATCCGCACTGTATATATGAGCTGTTGGCTAAAGCGGATGTGCCAATACCAGAGTGGGCACATACGCTATATAACATTTTTTGTAACAAAACCATCAGTAGAGTTGAACATGCGCTGGATACCCATTTAACTTGTATTTTTTATTCGGTACATGGGAATTTAACCACAAAAGTAATTTTTATGTGCACCCCGTCATCCTCAACAAGTCAATTTGATAGAAACACATCTCTGGTGCAGATTTTAGAATATTTGCATAGAAATATGTCGGCAATTGGATGGAAACCTAGCCATTGTCTTAGAAAAAATATTCTGTACCTGTTTTGAAGGCTCATGTCCTCAGCCCTAACCTTAGGCCTCACCCCTCCCTTGCCACTCACCTCACCTGTCCCCACTATGCTCATTAGCATCCCTTGACTATTCAAGCAGCAGGTTTTTCCCCCAGTCTTCCTTATTAATGTATAAATGTTAATATTAAGATCCTTTTAGTTTGATAATAGTTTATATGCCGCTGCCATATTCCTTAGTACAATTTGTTAGTAAGATGCATTTCAGTTTATTTTCCTTTTAACAAGTGTTTGTATCTCCCTCTTGTATTTCCCTAGTAAACCACAACAATTCCTTATCCTGCAACCCTTCCCCACATGCTCCTGTGTCTGTGTGTGCAATAAAACACAGTATTTGGATCCCTGCTCCATCACCTAATTTCATCTGCATTCTGATAGATGTGCCATGGTGGCATTCTGAACTCTGAAACAGCCATTATAAACCTCCTCATACAGTCCACCCAATCCTTTTTTTTAGTACCACAAGGATGTAGTACATCTGTGATCGTTCATGTCAGTTACATTAATAATGGATGGATGCACAAAAGTGAAGTGTCAAAAACTAAGAGGCAAGTTTATTTTTATTTATTATATTTTTTAAGGGATTTTCAGATTGTATTGAATAGATAGTGAAAGAGGATGACAGTAGGCCGGATTCAAACCGACACTTTAGACATGTGTGCCAAAGGCTGTGGCATTAGCACTAGACCAGTCAGGACACAAGAGAGGCAAGTTGACTGGTGTCGATAGAAGCAGAGTGGGGACTGGGGATGTCCTCCTTCTTACCTTGTTATTGAGGATCTCCACCTTGTCCTGGTCCAGGCGATGCTGGCGGTTGTAGGCCTCGATGGTGGTGGAGGAGCGCTCCATCTCTCGGTTGAGGACGCAGACAATGTTCTCGAAGGTGCCCACTTTCAGCTCCAGTTCCTGGCACCGCCGGCTCAGCTCTGCCACCTTGGTCTTCTCACTGTGGAGCTGCAACTCCAGGGCCGCGCCCACCGTACTGGGCAGGGGGGTGAAGGATGTGGCCAGGGCAGGGAGGGCCAGGGTAGGGAGGGTAGGGGTACAGACTCCCTGCACGGGGGCTCCCCCACCCAGAGTCAGCTGTCCCAGCTTCAGCTCCAGCTCTCTCAAGGCCCGGTGCAGCTCGTGGATCTTGTGACCTGCGAGCTCCAGGCTCTGGGGCTGCAAGCTCTCCAGGCTCACCTTGATGCCCATGATGAAATGCAAGAGTAGATTTAAGTGTTCGTAGGAACATGCACGCTCATGGTCATGGGTCTTCTCCTTCTCCACCTTGGGCAAAGTTATCGCATACAAACACACACACATACACAGTAGGGTTAAGGTCAACACATTCACAAAAACGGGTAATCTTAAAAAATCCACTCGAATTTCACCCAGTAAACATACAGGTGGAATCCATATAGTAATGATAAAATAAGTCCACTTACAGACATATCACAGCCAACGACGTGAAATCTGCAAGGTGCTCTGAATTTACTGCAGAACTTGATGTGGTCCACATACTGCCGGGAGAGAACAAACTTATATCAAGCAACATCCAAGCACTTCTACTGCAACAATGTACAGTGCATTCGGAAAGTATTCAGACCTCTTGACTTTTTCCACATTTTGATACATTACAGCCTTATTCTAAAATGGATAAAATTGGGGTCAATCTACACAAAATCCCCATAATGACAAAGCAAAAACAGGTTTTTGGAAATTTTAGCAAATTTACATACTGTAAGTATTCAGACCCTTTACTCAGTACTTTGTTGAAGCACCTTTGGCAGTGATTACAGCCTCGAGTCTTCTTGGGTATGACGCTACAAGCTTGGTACACCTGTATTTGGGGAATTTCTCAGATTCTTCTCTGCAGATCCTCTCAAGCGCTGTCAGGTTCAATCTTGGATTCATCAGACCAGAGAATCTTGTTTCTCATGGTCTGAGAGTCCTTTAGGTGCCTTTTGGCAAACTCCAAGTGGGCTGTCATGTGTCTTTTACTGAGGAGTGGCTTCAGTCTGGCCATTCTACCATAGAAGCCTGATTGGTGGAGTGCTGCAGAGATGGTTGCCTTTCTGGAAGGTTCTCCCATCTCCACAGAGGAACTCTGGAGCTCTGTCAGAGTGACCATCGGGTTCTTGGTCACCTCCCTTCTCCCCCGATTGCTCAGTTTGGCCGGGCGGCCAGCTCTAGGAAGAGTCTTGGTGGTTCCAAACTTCTTCCATTTAAGAATGATAGAGGCCACTGTATTCTTGGGGACCTTCAATGCTGCAGACATTTTTTGGTACCCTTCCCCAGATCTGTGCCTCGACACAATCCGGTCTCGGAGCTCTACAGACAATTCCTTCGATCTCATGGCTTGGTTTTTGCTCTGGCAAGCACTGTCAACTGTGGGACCTTATATAGACAGGTATGTGCCTTTCCAAATCATGTCCAATCAATTGAATTTATCACAGGTGGACTCCAACCAAGTTGTAGAAACATCTCAACAATGATCAATGGAAACAGGATGCACCTGAGCTCAATTTTGGGTCTCATTACAAAGGGTCTGAATACTTAAGTATTAAGGTATTTCAATTTTTATTTGTTATACATTTGCATAAATTCTAAAAACCTGTTTTCGCTTTGTCATTATGGGGTATTGTGTGTAGATTGATGAGGATTTTTTTTTTTTTTCATCCATTTTAGAATACGGCTGTAACGTAACAACATTTGGAAAAAGTCAAAGGGGTCTGAATACTTTCCGATGCACTGTAACAACATTATTAATTGGTTAATCAATCAGTAAACAATGTGTCCATCCTTGCCTTTTCCCTGGGAATCTTTTTCTTTGCGCAGCCTTCACAAATCATTGGGTACTTTGGACAGATCTCATCGTGAGCCTAGAAAACAAAACTGTTCATGTATTTTCATATAGGCTACACCCAATAACAAAACAGTACATGTTCCATATCTGATTTCGATAATGCAACTAAACGCAGACAAGTATGGTGATTTACCTTGATGTTCTTGAAATGGAAAGGTTCTTTGCAGTATTTGCAGTTTAGAGTCCTCTCAGGACATTCTCGTTCATTGTGGCGCTCCAGCTCATTGGTTCTCATGAGTTCTTTACAGGAGGGACAGAGAATTATCATGAAGTCACACTTTCCCTCATGGTTCACCTGGAAAACACATGACAACAGCATACTTCAAAACAAACAAATATACTGTAGGTCTAGTAATCTGTTAAGAACATTCATGTAGTAGATGTAGCTATTTATTCTATAGTTGTTCATCTGTAATTGAAACCAGATTTTTTTTAAATTATCAGTTCTATTTGAGAGTTGCAAAAAATCCAAATGACAATAGCTAGGTTTCCATCCAATCGGCGACAGATTTTCATGTAAATATTCTAAAATCCGCATGAAGAAAAAACCGCTAATTTTCCCACCCGTGGTGTTTCTCCACCAAACGGACTTGTTGCGGATAAATATCAGTGCGTGATGATGTAGTGCACACAAACGTTACATTTACCGAATAAAAACCTAAAGTTCAATGTGTTTCCATCGCATTTTCAACCTTCCTGATAGTTTTGTCACAAAAACTGTTGTGTTTTATAGCAAATGTGCCTACTCTGGTCTTGGCAAGTGCACTCTAGCCAACAGCTCGCAGATACAGTGCGGGTTGGCTGTGTAAGCTGATTATTATGGATAAGTATTGTATTTGTCAAACGGCAGTCAAGCACAGATCATGTCACCAGAATAAGACCCTCGATATTTATTGGAAAAGGAGCATGAAGCTGATCACCATGCACTTTCAACACCCTGTGAAGTTCATCATAACTTATTTCATCCGTAGCCTAATAAACGACATGGTGTCCCGAGTTGTAGTGGGAGGACTAGGGCTGTTATGGTGACCGTATTACCGTCACACCGGCAGTCACGAGTCATGACAGCTGTCAAATTCCACGTGACCGTTTAGTCACGGTAATTAGGGTTTTCCAAGCTCTTGATGCTGCTGATGGTCATTAGTAGCCTACCAACCTTGCTACCTGCCTGGTACTCAGCACTCTATTGTCCCTCTAATCACTCTGACATCAATGCAAATGTAATCGAAAATCTAATCAAACACTTAATTAGAGCCCATGAGCTCATGTAGCGCAACATTTCTATGGGCTATGCAATTGCATGAGAAAACAGTGTGATGGCCTCTATTAAAAAGAGGAGGATTCCATCAGCTTTCTGTAGGCTAGGCCTACTATATTTCTTTCTCAACTTTCCTAATATTAAGCACATTGCTTCTCTTTACAACAGGAGTATAGCCTACCTGGCTGGCATGAAAATGAACCACGTGAAAAGCATCCTCCATTCGCTATTTAAGTGTATAGATTACATGTATTTTTTCCCCCGTGCCACTGTTGAGACAGGTGCATGATAATGGTCCATTCTAAATCAAAACTAATTTCACACATCTTATTTAGTATATGTAAAAACAAGATTCAATCAAGAGTGGTCTGATGGGTGACAATATTAATATATCACGTGTGAATGATGCCCAGCTTGTGTGCAGTAAGACAAGGAACAAGGCAAGCCTTTTTGTTGCAACTTTTTCAAATCATAGTCCCACACCTCATGTAGCCTAGCCCATAGGCCTATATGTTTTGATAAGGTTTGTATCACAACTAAAGTGGCCAAATAACTTCTTAAAATGAAGCACATTCATCTGCTTTACAACGGGTGTAGAGACTAACTGGCATACATATGCAGCGCGTGAGTTTCAAGTTTGGGGAAGATCATTTTCACCATAAAAATGCACCTTTATAATAAAAGCATTGCATGCATAATCGAATTTGCGGTCACTTTTGATAATGGTGTTTCCCCGCTAATGGAACATTTGCGCTTATGTGTGCATTGCTGTGCTTATAATGTGAATAAATAGCCTAATAGTTTATCAACATTTTAAGCTAAATGTTCTGATCTGTTGCGTTTGCCTCAAAACGTTTTTTTGATGCTAGTGGTTGCATTAATTTGCGATCTATCACATCCCACAACTCTCTCAGACTATGTTTGGAATATTTATTTCTCGCACAGAATAGGTCAACCTTTGTACTATGGGGGATAGTAGATTGACATAGGCTAATGCTTTTGCTGTTCGTTAGGCCTACTCATCTTGTTGGCTGACGAAAAGTAAATGTGGACAGTTCTTCAAATATCTTCAATATGCGCCTCGAAATTGGATAAGGACGCGCGCAGTTGCGTCCCTGATGTGTCTGTCTTGACTTGTAGCCGTCGGGAAATTTGAGGCATTATCAAGTGCTTGTCAAATTGTAAATGAGACATTGATGTAGAGTGTACAGCCTGTGCAAAAAACAAAGCAGAGCTCATGCCTTTAATGCAACTTTTTTCAAATGATCATTAGAGTCGCATCGTGCAGCCTTAGAATGTATTAAAAAATCTAAACATAGCCCAACGTTTGTAGCACAACTAAAGTTACAAAAATAACTCTAAATTAAGCATATAAGAGTACTTGTTTCTTTGTTAACCACTCAACATAGAATAGCTGCATGTGTGCACTTCCTCAAATCGTTTGGAGAAAATATCCTTTCTATTTTATTCAGCTTTGTTCAATTGTATTCTTCATACTATAAAATAATGCCACGGAATTCTAAGCAAATCTTGTCTGCTAAATGAACTAGTGTAGCACACAGCCATTTGGCATAGCCAGATCAGGACCTAACATAAGGACAACTCAGAGTATGCTATTCTATTCTTCTGAAATAGATTACATTTTCTTCATATAAAGTTTCTTTAGACCTGTCTAAAATAAATAATGGATTTATTGTGATGGTGTAGGCTATATTACATGGATTTTTTAGACTTTTTAATATGTAGATGTTCCATAGGTCTGCATATGTGGCTTGTAGGCCGGAAGCCAGGAGATGCTAAATGTGTTTATGTTAATTAACGGTCAATTACCGTGAGGCCGGCAGTTATTTGCTTGACAATCACCGGCTGACAAAATCTCAAGACCACCACAGCCCAAGGGAGGACCAAACACCAGGACTCCAAGTTTACTTCGATTTGATGGTTATTATATCAATATTTGCACATAAAAGCGTTTCCACCGCAACTTCTCACATAATTTGTTTTACCGACACAAAAAGATCCCACCATGTCGAACGAACAAATTATCTGTCGGCATTTATAAAATTGTACCAAAACTTCCTGTTTCCATCACAGCTGTCATGATTTTTGTGGTATGATATCACTTACTTAAAAACGGTGGATGGAAAAGTGTTTATTGATTACATCACATTTAGCGTTAAATTAAAAGTGGAGGAGCATTTTTAAAACCTACAACTAAGAACACATTTTTAAACATGTACATTATTTGGTATAAAGAAATACAAAACAATCCCATACCTCATATTCTTTGATATTGCCCGTCCAAGTGCACCCTTCATTTGTACAAACAGCTGCCAATGCTTCCACTTCTCTCCGCGCTGCATTGTCAGGAAAAGCCTTGAGGGAAAGGGAAGGTTAGACTATTGTATTATTAAAGCACAAAGATTCAACACATGCAGTTGAAGTCGGAAGTTTACATACACTTAGGTTGGAGTCATTAAAACTCGTTTTTCAACCACTCCACAAATGTCTTGTTAACAAACTATAGTTTTGGCAAGTCGGTTAGGACTTTGTGCATGACAGAAGTAATTTTTCCAACAATTGTTTACAGACAGATTATTTCACTGTATCACAATTCCAGTGGGTCAGAAGTTTACATACACTAAGTTGACTGTGCCTTTAAATAGCTTGGAAAATTCCAGAAAATTATGTCATGGCTTTAGAAGCTTCTGATAGGCTAATTGACATCATTTGAGTCAATTGGAGGTGTACCTGTGGATGTATTTCAAGGCCTACCTTCAAACAGTGCCTCTTTGCTTGACATCATGGGAAAATCAAAAGAAATCAACCAAGACCTCAGAAAATAAATTGTAGACCTCCACAAGTCTGGTTCATCCTTGGGAGCAATTTCCAAACACCTGAAGGTACCACGTTCATCTGTACAAACAATAGTACGCAAGTATAAACACCATGGGACCCCGCAGCCGTCATACCGCTCAGGAAGGAGACGCGTTCTGTCTCCTAGAGATGAACGTACTTTGGTGCGAAAAGTGCAAATCAATCCCAGAACAACAGCAAAGCACCTTGTGAAGATACTGGAGGAAACAGGTACAGAAGTATCTATATCCACAGTAAAACGAGTCCTATATTGACATAACCTGAAAGGTCTCTCAGCAAGGAAGAAGCCACTGCTCCAAAACTGCCATAAAAAAGCCAGACTACGGTTTGCAACTGCACATGGGGACAAAGATCGTACTTTTTGGAGAAATGTCCTCTGGTCTGATGAAACAAAAATAGAACTGTTTGGCCATAATGGCCATCGTTATGTTTGGAGGAAAAAGGGGGAAGACTTGCAAGCCGAAGAACACCATCCCAACTGTGAAGCACGGGGTGGCAGCATCATGCTGTGGGAGTGCTTTGCTGCAGGAGGGACTGGTGCACTTCACAAAATAGATGGCATCATGAGGAAGGGAAATTATGTGGATATATTGAAGCAACATCTCAAGACATCAGTCAGGAAGTTAAAGCTTGGTCGCAAATGGGTCTTCCAAATGGACAATGACCCCAAGCATACTTCCAAAGTTGTGGCAAAATGGCTTAAGGACAACAAAGTCAAGGTATTGGAGTGGCCATCACAAAGCCCTGACCTCAATCCTATAGAACATGTGTGGGCAGAACTGAAAAAGTGTGTGCGAACAAGGAGGCCTACAAACCTGACTCAGTTACACCAGCTCTGCCAGGAGGAATGGGCCAAAATTAACCCAACTTATTGTGGGAAGCTTGTGGAAGGCTACCCGAAACGTTTGATCCAAGTTAAACAATTTAAATGCAATGCTACCAAATACTAATTGAGTGTATGTAAACTTCTGACCCACTGGGAATGTGATGAAAGAAATAAAAGCTGAAATAAGTCACTCTCTACTATTATTCTGACATTTCACATTCTTAAAATAAAGTGGAGATCCTAACTGACCTAAAACAGGGAATTTGTACTAGGATTAAATGTCAGAAATTGTGAAAAACTGAGTTTAAATGTATTTGGCTAAGGTGTATGTAAACTTACGACTTCAACTGTACATGTTTTCTGTGTAAATGAGAACACCAAACCAGTATACCTAGCCCAGTTTAGTCTTATAACCTTACAAGTTATTTGCCGACCCGAGCCTATGCTTGTTTGGCAACACTTTTCCCACGTCCGAGCCTATATCCGTAGTGGGTTCTGATTCGGAAGTCGTTGTTTGTATTTGAATAAAAATGAAAAGGTGAATGTAAGAAGCGCACATCAAATAGGCTATATGTCGTATTAAACAGCATATAAAAACACTAAATGGGTGAGGAGCCAAACAGGGAGCCTAAGAAGGAACGCAAATGAATTTAGGCTATTTTATTTCAATTATTTCAAGGCTATAGCCTACAAAGAAATACATTGTGAAGCATTTGCGAGTGCAACACAATAGGCTGGTAGGGACATAAAGGGCTCAGCATTTAAACAACATTTTGTTGTATTATATCATTAGTCTATAAATTGTGCATATAGGCTGTAACTTAATTTAACGAAAAATGACTTATTAGTGCCTTTGAATTCATTTTTAGAATTCATCTTTAGAAACACGAGCTTGGCCAGTCTGTGACTTCAGGCTCATGCGATGGTGCCTGGAGAGCAGGGCAGCAGCTGAGAATATCCTCTCCATACTTGCAGAGCCACAGGGGATGCTAAACCCCCTTTTGGCCACTCTGGGCAGGCTGGGCAGAGATGCAGAGTTTATTTTTCTATAGGTATTTTCTATCAATACTTTGCTACAATGACACATTGTTTTCTACCCACCTCGTTCCTTTCTTTTAGCATGGGCACGTAGTAAGTACACCATCATGCTTTTGGGAAACGTGTCTTTTAAGATTCCACAATTATTCTTTAGTTGTGGACATTACATCACCGCAAGCCCTCTTTTGCTCTTGGTCCTCATCTTTGTAAGTCACCTTGATTTAGCACCTGTGTGTCTTATCAGTTTCTTTATGAAAATATTTAGCGAACTCTATGACAGTAGCTAAAGCAAGGGGCTATAGCAGCACACAAGTTGACTACAAATGCATGCTGGGCTGGGCTGGGCTGGGCATGCCCTGAGCTGGTGAAATAAGCGCTACTGGAGCAAAATTAGAGCGGGCGAGAAGGCCGACACTCCAGCCTTCACGCTCCGCTTCTCTCCGCTCACATACTCTGTCCGGGTGAGGAGAGTTTGCACATTTTAGACCATTCCATTGGTCCTTACATGAAATCTCTATTCACCAGGGCCACCGGGCCATACAAAACTAACTTGCCAAATGTTGTGCCCCTGCTTTGCGCAGACACCCGTCTGTGTTTCACATCAGTTTGTCCTAGCTAATCAGCCTTGCAAGACAGGAAGCAGACAATAAATAGAATGAGCATGTACGTGCAAACATTGACATTCATGTTCAGTTTTGATTTGGAGGGGGGTGGTAGCATCTAACAATTGGATTTAATTATTTATTGGCCACTGCTCAGCAAGGCAAACAACAACTTCCTAATCAGAACCGTCTACCGATTACGGATATAGGCTCGGATATGGGAAAAGTGTTGCCAAACAAGCATAAGCACAGGGTCGGCAAATAACTCGCAAGGTAGGTCAGTGGAGGCTGCTGAGGGGAGGACGGCTCATAATAATGGCCGTAATGGAGTGAATGGTATCAAACACGTGTTTGATACCTTTCCATTCACTCCATTCCAGACATTATTATGAGCCGTCCTCCCCTCAGCAGCCTCCACTGAGGTAGGTGTATGTTATACTGCTGGACTGAGATCCAATCTCTGTCTAGTACCACTGGGCTACAGTATGCAATTAAGTGTCTAGTCAGTAAGAAAAATACTGATTGTTTCTATCAGACTGCATAATCAATGCACAAGTATAGCCTCTGTTACAAACAATCTGCTTAGTCTCTGGTAATCATTGAAATTATATTAGCTACTGTTAGCTATGTTTAGTAGTCTGTGCAAATATCTGAATCAACTACACAGGTACTTACACCGCCTTCTTTAAGAATAGATGTGGGGTCCTCAAACAAGTCCTCTTTGATGCAAGCACTGCATTTCTGTTGTCCAGAACTTGAAATACAGAAAATATGTAGCACAGCCATTTCTCTAGTCTTCTACATACAGATCAACAGTTCTATCTTGACAGGCCTACCTCCTCAATTAACTAACACCCAGTTGCAAGACCTGACATCAGAATCATGTATAGCTAACGTTATAGCTAACCAGTCACTGATGATTGCCTACGGACTGTTGTTAACATGAACAATTCATAACAAGGCTATCCATCCTCGTCCACTGGGTAGTTAGCTTACACTTGCAGAATCATTGATGTGTTTGAACAAGGTCATTGTGGGGATACAACAGGGTGACAGTACCTAGATCAATACTTGACCATAGATGAACTGAGTTTATAAACACCTGGCAAGCCTCGCAACTTGTTGACATACACTGACAGTTAGCTTGTTCATGAATGTTATAGGCAAGTGTAGCTAGCTAACGAGCTAGCTAATGTTAGCGTTTGTAGAGCAACATCACCCAGTCTGAGCACGACACTCACCTAACAATTTTGTTGAAACAGAACAAACAAAAACGATGGCCACATTGGGCTTGTAGAGGCCTTCTCAATATTTTCAAATCAATAATTACACAAGTGTTTTTCTTCGAGGTTGTTCGCCAAAATTTTCTTAGGGAACCCTGGTTTGTTGCCTTCCAGTGAAGATGGTGGTGATGGCTCTTGTGCAGCCATTTCTCCCCGAACATGCAAGAGAATGACGCTACCGCTGGGGGCGCTTTAGGAGAGCAATGAACAGCTGATTGAACCAAACAGTCTATGGACTATACAGTCTATGGACTGAACTCAAACCGAATTAGCAACATTTTTGCTACATTCATGTGTTCTGGTGCACCAATGGGGTGATTGTTGTCTAATTGGGGCTCTACATTTAGAGATATAATAACTGCTAAGAACATGAATGGCTTATCACAGTTACATAAAATGTGTGTAACATCTATTTGTTATTACTTTAAAAGGGGCAATCTGTAGTTGCTACATCCATTTTTTGACTTTTAAATTAATGATATGTACCCATTGTTTCTTATAGAATATAACCTAACCTACACTGAACAAAAATATAAAGGCGACATGCAACAATTAACGATATTTTCATTGATTCGCAAAAGAAAAATCCACCCGTCGAACAAATAAAAACGTTGTTGGTCTTTAGAACATTTCTCCTATAGCTGCCGTTTCCATTACACATGTTGCAATGTTTATTTTTTTGCGACATTGCTTTTGTCTAATAAACCTGGGTCAATGGAAACCTGCCTATATACCTGGTATAAGTCAAAACACCTCAAAACAAGACAATGTATCAAGAACCACATACAACTAGCTGAAACAAGCCACCTACCATTCCCCATGTCAGTCATTGTTGCTGGCTATCTGACTGTTCAGAATCATAACCCATGCCCTTCTACCTCTGCGATACTCATTCCTCATTTTCGTGACATTGTCAGGCAACCTGTCTATAATAATAATAATATGCCATTTAGCAGACGCTTTTATCCAAAGCGACTTACAGTCATGCGTGCATACATTTTTGTGTATGGGTGGTCCCGGGGATCGAACCCACTACTATATACAAGTTATGACAGCAATCCATGCTTTGGTTTTATTTCCCTGGCACTGTTTCCATGCTTTTTCCAATGCTAGTGTCTTAGCATTTGTGGCACAAATCCCATTCAAGTCATGGTACTGATATTAGCCATTTTCACGCACCATGTCCACATCATCCGAAAGTATCTAAAATTGACTGTGAAGCTCAACAAAGTCACTTATAGATAATTTGAACATGATGCACGAAAACGCTAATATCGGTACCATGACTTGAATGAGATGTGTGTCACAAATGCTAAAACATTAGCAATTGGAAACAGCCAGGGAAACTAAGCCAAAGCATGGATTGCTGTGTCATATCTTGTCCATAGACTGCATACACGGTAAGGAAAGCAATATGAATTTGTGTATTTTGGGTGAACTATCCCTTTAATATATAGCTCAAGCTCAGTGGTCGCAAGAAATCCATCAAAAGCCTATGAAAAGTGTAGTAAAGTTGCTAGCTATTTGCCCCTTGTACAGTATTTACCCATAGCAACCGCTAGGATAAGCCTGAAAAAAATCAACTACATGAAGCTTGAGGGAACAAGTACCACCAGAGAAATTAGAAGAGTAGATAAGAATCCCCGCGGGAAATGAATTTCGACCAATCGCGTTTACGTAATCATGCTGCGTCACGCAATCCCGTCTAAAAGTCAGGGTATGAGTCGAGAACACTGCCTATTTTCCTCAAAAGTACGTAATGTCAATATTGCAAAGCTATACGATATTGCAGAAAACAAGTTAATTATCTCACATCTAGGAAAATATTTCAAATGTTGTACTTCTTGTTCACGTAATTCACGCTAATGTTGGTTTTTTGAGTTGGCACCCAATTGACTCCCATTAATTCCTTGAAGTAACTCCTTGTCCCAAAATCTCCTACAATGCACCGCGCAGCCCATTGACGACACATGGGCAACGTACACAATGGGCGTTTATATGACTCCAATGGAGTTTCCCATCTCCTCAAAATTATCTATTTTACCACCAGGAAGCAAGCTGTTCAGCTAAGAGTGTATAACGTTAGCATCTTCAACATGCATCAGGAGGAGTTGGATTTGGAAATAACCATGTCACGTTTGCTACATTGAAGAAACCTTTGATTGCCGGTTGGTATTTTTAGCACATCACTCAACATTGTCAATGTTATCGCTTGCAAGCTACCTTATCGTGATGCTAACTAACCAGCCGCATCGTCAATAACGCCATAAGCTAGCTAGTATATACTTTAGTCATGGCAGCATATGTACCGGTAAGCTTGTGACCTTATTAGATGCAATCGCAAAACGTCGATGAAATAGGTAGCTAGCTATCTAGCAAGTTAACAAAGTCATCTAATCAGAGGGCATATCAGATCGCTAGATCAACATTACACTAGCTAGGTAACTAACGTGTACGCTAGTTACACCAGACTCTGCCGGCTAGCTAGCTAGCTAACTGTTACTATACTGAACAAAAATATAAACGTAAAGTGTTGGTCCCATGTTTCATGAGCTGTAATAAGATCCCAGAAATGTTCCATATGCACAAAAGCTTATTTCTCTGTTTACGTCCCTGTTAGTGAGCATTTCTCCTTTGCCAAGATAATACATCCACCTGGCATTTCAAGAAGCTGATTAAACAGTATGATCATTACACAAGTGTACCTTGTGCTGGGGACAATAAAAGGCCACTCTAAAATGTGCAGTTTTGTCACACAACACAATGCCACAGATGTCTCAAGTTTTGAGGGAGCATGCAATTGGCATGCTGACTGCAGGAATGTCCACCAGAGCTGTTGCCAGAGAACACAATGCCACAGATGTCTCAAATTTTGAGGGAGCGTGCAATTGGAATGCTGACTGCAGGAATGTCCACCAGAGCTGTTGCCAGATAATTTAATGTTCATTTCTCTACCATAAGCCTCCAATGTTGTTTTAGAGAATTTGTCAGTACGTCCAACCGGCCTCACAACCGCAGACCACGTTCCACATCCGGTTTCTTCATCTGCGGGATTGTCTGAGACCAGCCACCCGGACAGCTGATGAAACTGAGGAGTATTTCTCTCTGTAATAAAGCCCTTTTGTGGGGGGAAAATAATTCTGATTGGCTGGGCCTGGCTCCCCAGTGGGTGGACCTATACCCTCCCAGGCCCAACCATGGCTGCGCCCCTGCCCAGTCATGAGAAATCCATAGATTAGGGCATAATTAATTCATTTTAATTGACTGATTTCCTTATATGAACTGTAACTCAGTAAAATAGTTGAAATTGTTGCGTTTATATTTTGGTTCAGTATATATTGTATCAGCTGATGCCCAAGGAAAAGTGTTACACTGTTAACATTGGTTAACACTGACAATATTAGAAAAACATACTGTTATGTAAGTTACCCTATTGCTCAGTTGAAAAATCTAAATAGTCCATTACATTACACATAAGAGTCAATGGACTAAGGTGTCTTCTGTATGTCTGAGGTTGTTTTGGGCCCTGTACAGTACCCAGTGAGTCCCCCCAAAAATACAATGAATCAGAAAATAAAAAGTGTAGTATTGTGCACATGCTAGGCAGAGATGGTAGGGGGACTCTCAACTCATAAACGCATAATATTTTGTCAATGTAGAGTAAGATGATGGCAAGGATCTTAAGCTAGTAGGCATAAACCACCTGAGTACTGATATTCATTAGATTTTTCTTGAAGGTTGGGTGATTTTGATTAATATTAGTATTTCCTGTGCAGAGCCTTGGTGTAGTGGTAACACTCCCCGGCACCTGCCACATACAACTTTCCACCTGAGAACAGGGATCAATCACTGCTTCCAACCTTCCCACTGTTTCTAGCATCTCCCTATCTGATTTCATTACTGTCTGAGTAGTGTCAAACCACCCCAAAAATGTTTGCATACTTTAAATTTCATCCCCCCAAAAATCTCTTAAGTAACAAAGTCGTTGAATTTTGAGTGTTCATTTAATGTTCAAAGCATTCTAAATACACCTGACCTGTGGTTTAAAAATATGTATTTTCCACCGTCGTCATAGGCCTAAGCCATGTCAAAATACGTAGAATTGCAGGAAATGAGCTTTAAAAAAATTACATAAATTATGCACTATGGTCATACTCATGGGTTGTGCAATGTAGGTCAAGTTACCAAAAGTGCAAACATTTAGTGTGCATGGAAAGGGTACACCCTGATAGTCATTGTAAAGCAATGCATTTACTTCTCCATCCACATTACCTTGTATACATGCTATGTTTAGCTAGCTCATCATTTACAATAGGAATAGGAAAACAAGTTAGATTTTTCTTCACATGTCTGTGTCTTATTTCAAAAAGACAAACTCCATAACTTGAAAGCCCTGATTACTAACGTAATTTTAAGATGTCAGGCTTGAAAATCCATTCAGCCATTTTGGCACAGTGACTCACTACCCAAACCAGATGCAACTGGTTTCAAGTGGCCAAGAGACGTCATGTGATCTCCTACTGCCATCTTGTGGACGAACTGGGATTCAGACAGGGGATATATTTACATCAATGGATAGGTAGACTTCAGGATTCTCCTCATATGTACACAATCAGTCAAAAGGTTGGACACACCTACTCATTCAAGGGTTTTTCTTTATAAAAATAAAAAAAATACATTGTAGAATAATAGTGAAGACATCAAAACATTAAATAACACATTTGGAATCATATAGTAACCAAAAAGGTGTTGAACAAATCAAAATATATTTTATATTTGAGATTCTTCAAATAGCCACCCTTATATTCTGATTTGTTTAACACTTTTTTGGTTACCACATGATTCCATATGTGTTATTTCATAGTTTTGATGTCTTCACTATTATTCTACAATGTAGAAAATAGTAAAAATAAAGAAAAACCCTGGAAAGATTAGGTGTGTCCAAACTTTTGACTGGTACTGTATATCATTCCAGTTAGACGAAAAAGGTATGGCACGTTGCACAAGCCCTGCGCTTTTAAAATGGCTGTGTTCCAATGGGAATTTGCGCATGTTTAGAGCACCACCATTAGGTAAAAGGTCAGCAAAGGTTTCCCCCATTTAAAAATAAAAAAATCATTTTGTAACAGTAATTTGTGACATATTTTATCTCAAACCTAGACTTTCAAATCTCTTATTCCCCAATATGGGGACAATTGGTGGGACCCCCACCCCCCGAAAAAACTACAACTGCTAAATGCTGTGCCACTGCTAAATGCAAATAGGGAAACACTGGTAGTTCAATTTTGTATGTGGTTTCTTTCTTGCAGATGATGGTAACCCAAAACCACATGAGAGAAGAAACAACTGATAAAGCTATTGTCTGCCCTTGAGGAATCCTCTTAGTAGAAAAATCTAGTCATATACTGGAAATATGCAAGCCTACCTACCTGGCAATGCATCTTCCTGATGGGGTGTAATGCTACTTCTGTGTACCAAAATACAGTACTACTTTAAAATTCTATATTCATAGCTTAGGCCTACTTGTGTTGAACAGATCATCACTCAATATAACATTTAAATCTGCATCAGTAGTCTAGAAACTGTCCCACCATTTTGGTTCAGTCAAACACACTACTATATTTCACACATTTCTGACAGGGTTAGTAAGATCAGCTTCCTGGCAAGATGTTTTCAGCTTTGAAGAAGTTAGTTGGTTCTGAACCAGGCCAGCCGAGGGACAAGAACATCCCTGCTGGCATGCAGTCCATGAACCAGAGTTTACAGAGACGCTTTGCCAAAGGAGTACAATACAACAGTAAGTGATGCATATTTTGTTATGCTTATAGCAATATGTATTATAGAATATAGGCTATTGTACATATATTTAGAGGTAGGCTAGTCATACTTTGTTTCGTTATTTCTCCGAAGTGAAAATAGTTATCCGCGGAGACCGAAATACTGGCAAGAGCACTCTATGGCATCGACTGCAAGGAAAGAAATTCACGGATGACTACATACCCACTCAAGAGATCCAGGCGACCAGCATCCATTGGAACTACAAAAGTAAGAGAATTGGGCTCCTACACTTTACTTACACACTTTGATCTATGTTTTAGTCCAATGTTTTTTTTTATTCACCCCAGGCTAAACCTACAGTATCTGTAATTCTGCAAACATGTTGTCAATGTATACTTCTGACATGTAATTTTCCTGCTCCTGCAACTGTAATTCAATTCAGTTGAACATGGCACATATAAAGGTAAATAATATCTAGGTAAACCCACTAGGTTTGTGAAATAGTCTTGCATAGTTAGCTAGATCAATAGCTTTGCCTACAAGTGTTTTGTGTCAATAGTGGGATCTCTTGTGTACATCCAGACCACAATAGGCCTATTCCCACAAACAGTTTCCCTCCTCAGACAGTGTGATTAATAAAAATGCCTATGGGTACTGATGGAATTCCTCCTGTAGTACAGAAACCACTTTGTCCAGCTTGCTTTTCGCAGCTTTCATATGTGTGCACAGTAGGGCTGGGTGGTGAACCGTATTTGACTATATACCGGTATTGTTGCACGTAACGGTTTGGATTTTTACTTTACTTCACATAAAGGTATTTCAATGTTTGGTTTGTTAGATGTCATATAAATATAATAACTGAGTGATGAAACTCTAAAAAATGATGTCAATCGTCCGTTCTTACTGCCAGTAAGAGACTGCTAACAGTTGAGAACTGCTAATTTTCTAGCAAGAGCTTCATTTGAAATCCAGATAATTTTAGAAAAACTGGGCCCTGGTGACAAACGCTCTCTAGAAATTGGCAAAATGCCCCTTGTGGCGAAAGTAAAAACTGCCATGGAATCCATTGAAAATACAGTGCATTCCAAAAGTATTCAGACCCCTTGACTTTTTCCACATTTTGTTACGTTACAGCCTTATTCTAAAATTGATTTTAAAAATTGTTCCCTCTTCAATCTACACACAATACCCCATAAAGACAAAGCAAAAAAAGTTTTTTTTGAAATTTTAGCAAATGTATTAAAAATAAAATACGGAAATATTACATTTACATAAGTATTCAGACCCTTTACTCAGTACTTTGTTGAAGCACCTTTGGCAGCGATTACAGTCTTGAGTCTTCTTGGGTATGACGCTACAAGCTTGGCACACCTGTATTTGGGGAGTTTCTCCCATTCTTCTCTGCAGATCCTCTCAAGCTCTCAGGTTGGATGGGAAGCGTCTCTGCACAGCTATTTTCAGGTCTTTCCAGAGATGTTCGATCAGGTTCATGTCCAAACTCTGGCTGGGCCACTCAAGGACATTCAGAGACTTGTCTCGAAGCCACTCCTGTGTTGTCTTGGCTGTGTGCTTAGGGTTGTTGTCCTGTTGGAAGGTGAACCTTCGCCCCAGTCTGAGGTCCTGAGCGCTCTGGAGCAGGTTTTCATAAAGGATCTCTCTGTACTTTGCTCCCTCAATCCTGACTAGTCTCCCAGTCCCTGCCGCTGAAAAACATCTCCACAGCATGATGCTGCCACCACCATGCTTCACAATAGGGATGGTGCCAGGTTTCCTTCAGACGTGACGCTTGGCATTCAGGCCAAAGAGTTCAATCTTATTTCATCAGACCAGAGAATCTTGTTTCTCATGGTCTGAGTCCTTTAGGTGCCTTTTGGCAAACTCCAAGCGGGTTGTCATGTGCCTTTTTCTGAGGAGTGGCTTCCGTCTGGCCACTACCATAAAAGCCTGATTGCTGCAGAGATGGTTGTCCTTCTGGAAGGTTCTCCCATCTCCACAGAGGAACTCTGGAGCTCTGTCAGAGTGACCATCGGGTTCTTGGTCACCTCCCTGACCAAGTCCCTTCTCTCCCAATTGCTCAGTTTGGCCGGGCGGCCAGCTCTAGGGAGAGTCTTGATGGTGCCAAACTTCTTCCATTTAAGAATGATAGAGGCCACTGTGTTCTTGGGGACCTTCAATGCTGCAGACATTTTTTGCTACCATTCCCCACATCTGTGCCTCGACACAATCCTGTCTCGGCGCTCTACAGACAATTCCTTCGACCTCATGGCTTGGTTTTTGCTCTGACATGCACTGTCAACTGTGGGACCTTAAATAGACAGGTGTGTGCCTTTCCAAATCATGTCCAGTCAATTGACTTGACCACAGGTGGACTCCAATGAAGTTGTAGAAACATCTCAAGGATGATCAATGGATACAGGATGCACCTGAGCTCAATTTCGAGTCTCATAGCAAAGGGGCTGAATACTTTTGTATTTCTGTTTTTTATTTGTAATACATTTGCTATATTTCTAAAAATCTGTGATCACTTTGTCATTATGGGGTATTGTGTGTAGATTGATGAGTAAAACATTTTTTTTAATCCATTTTAGAATAAGGCTGTAACGTAACAAAATGTGGAAAAATGGAAGGGGTCTGAATACTTTCCGAATGCACTGTACATGTCCATAAACCAGGTTTCCATACAACCTTTTTATGCGAGTAAAGTACAAAAATGTCACGACAGGCCTGATGGAAACAGCAAATGGAAACCGCAAACAGCGAATTTGTCGGTAAACTTTCCAAATGTCGACAAAACAAAATACGCTAGACAAGGTGGGCTATTTTTGTGTCTGTAAAATGTATTGTGGGAGAAACGGCGGTGGTGATGCCTTGATGCGCAAATATTGATATAATAACCATCATATCGAAGTAAACTTGAAGTCACGTGATGATATATTGTGTGGTCCTTCCACTACGACTCGGGAAAGCATGCAGTTTATTAAGCTACAGATCAAATAAGTTATGAACTTCACAGTGTGGTGAAAGTGCAGTTTTATTATTCAAAAACATCAAATACAGTCAAAATTCTGAAAATATATTTCGATATGATATTTTGGCCATTTCGCCCAGCCCTAGTGCACAGAGCCTTGGGACACATACTATTGGTTAGAGCTTGAGTATGGGATGCTTTGTCTGTTGAGATGACTGTTTCTCTGTATCTCTCAGCCACTGATGACGTGGTCAAGGTGGAGGTGTGGGACGTGGTGGATAAAGGTCAGTGTGATTCCTTACTTTGGGTGCATGCATGAGACTCACATGAGTCATGAAATTGATATCTACCTACTGCTGTATTAGACGTGTCCATGTATTATCCCATTGTCCATGTCCTACTGCAAGAGTATTTTGTCTGTGGATTTATTTATCCTCAGTATATTAATGTTGTTTTTCTTGCTCCTCTCTTGCACTTGCCTCAGGCCAAAAATACCCTCTCCCTGAGGGTGTAGGTGAGAGTCATTGTGTGTAGTTGCTAGAAGTTATTTGCTTGTGTGCAGTGTGTTTGCCCCTCTTGTGCTTCTGTGTTATCTGAATGCTAACACAGTGAAGGTTGGTCGTTGCTTAGTTTGCAGTGTGGCTAAAATAAAACGATGGCTGATTGCTTGCTGACTACTTTGTGTACAATAACCTGGAGCTACAGTCAAAGGTTTGACTCTCACTTTTTGAAAGGACAAAATTGAGTATGTTTGCCAATAAATAAATAAATAAGAGCTTTTCTGCTTCTGTTACTACTGTATTTGTTTCACTTTGCTAACATCCAAGCTAGAAATAAAGGGATTCACGTTTTTGTGTTTTAAAATAAATACCATGTGTAATCATTCTGTATATATGGCTCATAGAAATATAATCACTAGAAGGAGAATAGCCCCTCAGACCACATTAGATCATGTATTTGAATGGGGATTCCCATTCTAGTCATTTTACTTCTATGGTGTGGCTTTCTCACATTGTTACACTTGAAGGCAATAGTTCAATGTAATGTCCAGTTTTATGTTCTGAATTGCAGCTTCTTGACATTCTGCTTTTCCACAGGCAGAGGTAAAAAGCGAGGGGACACTTTGAAAGTGGAGAATGAACCCCAAGAGGTGATTATCACATGTTGATCATGTTTAATGTTATGTGGTCCTCTGTAGCTCAGCTGGTAGAGCACGGCGCTTGTAACGCCAAGGTAGTGGGTTCGATCCCCGGGACCACCCATACACACAAAAGAAAAAAAATGTATGCACGCATGACTGTAAGTCGCTTTGGATAAAAGCGTCTGCTAAATGGCATATTATATTATTATATTATTATTATTTAAGAGTACACTAGATCTCTTCTCCTTTATTTGGGTCATCTAAGGAGTCCCCCTGGGGCGTTTTTTTGTATAGTAGCTAGTAAGATGTAAACAAAAGGTCACATTCTCATAAGACTCATTAATGTTCAATAATCTAAATAACGTTTGATTTGTTGCAGTCTGACGAGGTGGCCTTGGATGCAGAGTTCCTAGATGTTTACAAGAACTGCAACGGTGTGATCATGATGTTTGACATTACCAAGCAATGGTAAGAGTCAGTGTCATACATTATACAAAAGTTCAATACATTAATTACAAGGTTTCAGTCCTGGGCAGAAAATAGTTTATTTGAAAATACCAACATTTCAAATAGTCAAGGTAATCAAATATAGTTTATACTAAGTTTCTACTAAAAGGCAACTATTTTCTTTGATATTCAGATCTCAGAAAAACAAATAATATTTGAAAGTATTTTGAATACCTCTCAGAAAACCAAATAATAGTTAAGTTATTTGAAAACAAAAAAATATGTATTTGTTGGCTGCGAAATATTTGATGAAGAACCAGAAACTACAACAGTTGAATTAGTCTAAATATACAGTATGATCATAAGCACATGGTTTAGAGGGCTCTTAGATATGAATCTTAATATAGCCTAGAATGAAATACATGAGTGACATTTGATTTGCTTGACAAGCACTTCGTCATCAGAGTGCGCAGCTGAACATTGTATACTGGAAAACACTCGGTTTGTTATTTTTGTTTAAAACAAAAAGGCTATTCATAAATACGAATACAGAACTTGTTTTTGCGTGGATTCCACGACGCGGTTAGCTTTTAACAGCTAGGACCGCGATTTCTTGTCCCGGAATCCCGCTTTAGAGACAGGTTGAAGCCTGCTTGACAGAGACGCTAAGCTGCTAGCCATCAAGCTAACGAAGTTGGTACCAGATGAGT